AGAAACCAGGCAGAAAGGCAGGCTAAATTACCAGTGTGTCTCTTCATCTTTTCTCTTGTCAGCCAGATGGCTGGTGAGTAGCCTGCCAGGCTGCTTGGCTTCTAGTTTTCATAGAATCCCTGACTTCTTGCCTGATGGGCTGCCAAACAGCTGGAAAGCCAGGTCTCCAGGAGCTCCTGAGCTTTTTGGCTTCTCATGGTCTCCAAGCTCTCAGGCAGCTGCTTTGCATGGAACTTGGGACCCAAGGCTCCTCTGTGAGGGAGATACAGGTTAGACCCTTATTTTCCCTTTGCTTCACAGCTTTCAGTTTATGTGTTTTACAAAAATTGAACTCCTGTATTTGTAGACATTAAGGACCTCAGAGCAATTTTCCTGTCCATTTGGGATCTCCAACATGTCTACAGGAGGCCCAGACAACTCCTGATAGCTGGTTCACTAAACTAGGCAGCCTGTGTCAAGAGTCACTGGATGGGCTGCTTCTGCATGTACCCTGCAGGCATGGCAGTCAGATATGGATTCACCAAGCCAGGTCTGGCTTCCTGGGTATCCTAAATCTCCAAGGACCCTGGTTCTCAGGAAGGCTTGAGGGGCAACCCAAAAGTTCCTTTTTGTCTCCCTTATAGTATGCTTTTAAAGTTTAGTTCATAACAAATTCTTATAATTTGGAAGGTCTAAATCCAGATATCAGGGGTTAAAAACTGCATAAAATGAGAGCAACTATAGAGAAGTAGGGATGATTGAAGTAAAAAAACTATACTCCTAGAGAAAACAAATAGGAAAATGGAAAGAGAGCAGTAAGAGCAGTAACCTTGAACTGCCAAGGTTTCTGTATAGAATTGCAAGAAGCATAGTAAGGAAAACAAAGAAACTGTACATATGCAAGTAGGGAATTTTGACATTATAGGCTTAACCAAAAAATTGTAAGTAAACAAAAATGTATTGGTACTGCTAAAGCAAAATTTTAAAAATATAAAACAAATTAACAGCAGTGTGCAGTATGGAGCATGATTATTTTTTTACACTACAGTTTTAAATCAGTAAAATATGTAAAGAAAGCATCTTAATTAAAACAGCAAATAATTTTACTATTTGTTATATATTAGAAGAATTTCCAAGTTCAAGTACATTTCTTTGTTACTTTTAGTAAAGAAATGCTCTCTGCAGTTTCATACATATGGTTACGCTAAAATTTCCATAACAAGCAAAATCTTTGTAAGAATCCTACATAGCATAGGTCATCAGCAGCATATTTTCCACCCACAGGTTAACTCCAGACTGCTGGCTGCAGAAGTCACTTCCTCAGAATATAATACTGTTGCAAGACTGAAGACTAATTGACCTTCACACATACCCATCTCATTACCCTTCCCTATTAAACCTGGTTTAGTTTTGGTTGGGTTTTGGTTTCTCATGTGTCAGCATGGACATTCTCTTTCCCTGTATGAATGAAATTCACAGACAACTTCAGATGGCTGATGATCTTTCATCACACCCATGATATTCCACTGCAGAGCTGAAATCACAATTTATTAGAAAAGTGTGAAATGTCATTTTACAAGTACATTTTAAGAAAACAGAATAAGTTTCTAGTCTCTCAAACCCCCAGTTTCTGTCTGTTTACTTACATTACTTTTACAGACTCTATACATAGATGGCTTCCTGAGGTTCTTTAAGAAAGCCTTACAGCTGTAGCTATAAAAAGGCTAAAACTGAAAGTTGAAAGCTGATATGCAAGTAGAAAAGGACAGAAAAACTCGATGCCTGACGTTACCATTCCTATTCTAATGTTTGCACCCAAAACTCTAATAAATATGAGGACAGAAAAATAAACCTCTTCAACTTTTTTTTTTTTTTAAATTTATTTAAAGATTCTAGTAGAAGGTTACTCCACAAGGAAATAGGTGTTTTCATACAAACTCAAGTTGGCAGTGTTCCTCTTATTGGCGCAATGCCTTTGGATGATTTTTATAATAGCCCAAACAACATATTTGTAGAATTTCTCTAAATGTTTCTGTTTGGGCTGATGTACGTTGGGAGAACATTACAAATACTGTTTTTCAAAGAAGCATCATAACCAAAAATTGCTGTTCCAACATCAACAGAGTTCAGTAGACTTCTCCTAGCCATTTTTCATAATCATTTGTGTTTCTTGGACAGCGCACTTACACTTTGTCACTACCAATGTGCCTACAGTAGTAATGTTTCCTTTTGGAAGTAAGGAACTAATTAATAAGAATCTGCTTCTATGAAGATAATTCCTTTGAATAAATTACATTCTTGTCTCTTTATGTCTTAGATTTTAAAGAAATGTATGAACTACTTTATCCAAAACCATGACATATTTGTCTAAAACTCACATTTAGCACTTTCAGGTGCTATGCAAATTTTCTCAGGAGAGGTCTACCAAACAAATTGTATCACTGACAGTAAGATCTTCACTCTACAAGGAATTCTTCAGGCTAAACATATCTAGAACTAATGCTGGCATATGAAGTGATGATTGATGTCAAACTAATATTACAGTTGTCAAAGCTACAGTTTATGTACTAGAGTGTACAATTTACATCCTCTATTTAAAAAAGTCATAGATCTGCTATGGACCAAATATCACTGAACTTTATCATATTGCTGTAACAAACAATATCACTTAGCTATATCATACTGATACAATTCTATTCCATGGGAAGCACTCTGAAACAGCTACCATGATGTGACTGTCAACACATACAATCTAGGTCCATGGGAACTTGGATTCTTCTCCTTTTGCAATTAATTGCCTAACGGCAGGCAAACCAGTTAGACCCAAAAGCTCAAAACTGACAAACATCTAAACATCTTGAGAATTCAAGCCTTGGTCTTTTGTGACTCTTATCCCCCAATGGTAAAACAGCAACGACGGACCCCCCAGTCTTAAACAGATTATAACGAGAGTAAGTGCATGAGAGAGAAACACGTACTCATGCGCTGTGACAATAACCACCCTTTTAGAAAGACTGATTGGCTTCTAAGATTTTATAAATATCAAAAATAACTTTTAAATTGCTTGTACAGAAAATGTCTATGTGGGAAAATGGATGCTGCATTACATTTTATAAAAATTTGTTTCTGATACTATTAACAAGTTCAGTTTCATCTGCGAGCCTCCATAACACAGAAGAGAACCACTACAGCTGCCACAAAAGAACACAGAAAGAAAACAAATCCAGATTCCATGCTCACAGCTATTTGAAACACAGTTTGCAGTCCCAAGTTCAGGCTTGGAAGAGCCAGAATGCACATAATCCTTTAAAGTCATACACTTATTACTGGTTTTGAATCAAGCACTGCGTAAACCAAACTGCTTCTTGGAAGATCATGCAAATTGTTGAATAATATTAACCCTGAACAAAAAATAAAAAATTTTCTTTAGATAGAAATAGCTGCTGTACTTCCACACTGTGGCTATAATCACTGCTTTATACATATTTCTTTCTATTCAGTGTCAGCGGAAAGGGTATTATTGGTAGGCTTGTTTCAGTGTGCCACTTGGCTGCAGGCTCACACAAAGAACTCTTTGTGGGGTCACAGATTAGCATTTGGGCAGGCAGCCAAGAGAGATGAAAGGAGGATAGCTACACTAAGGATGTACATAGCTTGCACTCATCAAGTATCCTGGGGAAAAAAACAAGAAAAAAAATCCATGTAATCTATAATTTCAGTAGCTGTCCTCTATTCCCTTAGTTTCTGAAAAAGTGCTTTTAGTGGAGAAACTCTAGCAATGTGCAGTTCTATTCTGACTCTGCAGGTCACAGAATCTTATACATAGTAAGTATTACCTTAGTACGGAGATCAAGTAGTATTTTAACATTCAGTTATAGCAATATTGTTCAAGAGAGAGGTAGGTATATTTAGATACCAAAAAAACTTTATTATACTAGAGTGTACATTTAGAAAAAAAAAAGGTGAAAATACAATTCAGAAAAACCAGCAAGTCTGAAAAATGGCAAGCTGCCATTGCAGAAATCATTGTGAAGAAATACAAAATTCTTAAGTTATAAAAATCAAGAACAAATATTCTCACAATACTTTTATTCATACAACTGTATCTACATCAAATCATCTATATAAATTAATAGCAGCCAAACAGTGCTCAATTCCAAACAGGAAATACTGCCTTCAAAGGATGCTAAGGATATCTAGCACTTTGAAGGAATTTTCACTCTTTACATAGTCAAGATCTCAAATTATATGTAGAAGGGTATATATTTGTGTTAGAATAGACAGTAGATGCTAAAGTTGCATCAATTATGGAGTAAATTAGAAATGGAAGCTATTATTGTCCAAGGATTAAGGAATAAAGTTGGTATTGTAGGAAACTTCTAACGGGAAACAAAACCTTGCCCATTTATTCTACCACAGGTCAGTGGGAGGAGTCACAGAAGATGATCTGCAGCTTTTACTCACCATTTTATCTCTACTTGGAAACTCACATGAAATACATGAATAGCTCAGTTTTCTGTGCACAACTGACCTGCACAACCACCACTATTCACAACTGGCACTTTTTGTTGGCAGTCTCAGCAGAAAACCTAAGGATTACATTGGCACTGAGTCTGAAATATGCTCTGAAATCAAATGACGGTCTCTTGAGGACATAGCTGAAGTACCTCATAGTGGAGAACAACTAGAACTACCTGTGCTATTCATAGCCTGTGAGTAGAAGCTTTCTGTTTTCAGCATGCTTTATTTGGGAACAGTAAGTTAGATCCTGGTAAGTTATTAAAATATATTTTCCAAATACCATAAACACTGTAAAGGCAAAACATATTATATAATGAGCACTAGATGGAGGACTATTCACTTTTGAAAAGTGAATATGTATGTTTTTTAAGCAGTTAACAGAAAGAAATAAGGAGAGTCTAAGTAGCAAACAGCAAACTATTGCTGGAAATGATCCAAATATAAAAACTGTATGTGTGTGTATATATATAACAAATCTGTTACTTTCAATACTTTCTCACCTTAGCATTTTCAACGCAAGGACAAAGAGCCCAAGCTGCACTTGCTTGAACATCTGGGTTAGGATTTTTCAACAGTGACCATAACAAGCGAACTCCATCTAGACTGTCAATTATCCTATTGCAGAACAGAACAAAAAAGAGATAATTAATTATGGAGTGGACAATGTTGAATCTCAAATTACATCAGTTTGTTTGGAACACTGCTTTAACAAACACTGTCACGATCTTAACATACTGTTTTGCTTTATGCAAGTGCTTGTGTTTTATTGTCAGCTAATCACCATCAACATATTCAGTAAACAGTGCTTACTATAGCAGATGAGCATGAACAAATAAAGACAGAATGTTTTCTACACAAATCTCATTAATGTTTTCTTTTTTCCAGCACTGTCATTCAAAATTCTTACAGAAGATAAAGTAAACTACATTATAACCAGGACTCATAAACATGAAAACAAGCATGTGACTTTTTAATGATCTGCATGTAAAGTGAAATCTGAATTCCAGCATACTGGCTTCTTTCATATAGTAACAAATACTTTCCAAAACAAATATTTGTGCCCAAAACTATGTACTTAACTTTTTATTCAGTCTATGTTTAATGTATTTACCTTGCTCTATGACATATTTTAAAACACTATGTTTCTAATCTAGCATTAGAAATTAAAATGGTCACACCACAGAGCATCCTTTGTTGGGCACGAATAATGTGTAACTTGTTTCCCATGTGCTCCTTACTAACAAGACCAACACTGAACGCTATGTTATAATTACTTAAACACACTGTAATCAAAGTATCTTCATGAGTAGCTGAGAAATGAATTATCAGCAGAATCATCTCTACACCATCTGCGTTATGTTTACATATCAATCAGGCTTGGGGATCATAACTTCACATTAGGTTCCAGTGAATACCCTAAATGGAAAGGAAGGTCAACCAAAACTTAATAGCCTTTACTAACATACCTTTTTTAAAAAAACCCTGCGTTAAACTCAAAGCAGATGAGTTGGAGATGAAGAAAAGCAAGTACACCTTCATTGTCTAACCTCAAAAGTAAAAAATTCAGCTGCATACAATGTGTTTACATCTTTCATTGTAAATGTGAGATAAATTGAAATACAGATCAAGCTTCAAAACAGCAGATAAAATGTCTCATTTGTGTTCATTATATATGGTTTGCCAGGAAATTTTAAAACTAATTATAAAATGAACTTTGTATGTAATCCTATCACCATTTGGAGTAGAAAAAAATAATTAAGGACATGTGATCTGTCTAAAATAAGAAAGGATTTTATTCATAACATTTTCATGCAAACTGGTTAAACAACTATGTTTTTCAAAATAACACTTTTTGCACAAAGCTATGGTTAAACTAAGACGTTGTAAATTTTTTAAGGTCTGCCAATTTTAGTACAGCTTATTTTACATGCTCAGCTCCAAATCAACTGCAAGAAAATCATGCAAAGGACAAATTCAGAAGTCTTAACACAACGAAATAAAACAGCATAATCATGAACTACACAATTACACATATATGTTCACATAGTAAGGATGACTCAAGTAAAAGCTTCAAAACAAACTTTGAAATCCCTCCAAACTCCAAAGACTTTTAAGGAATTTTAACATGTCTCCTGTCATTTCAGAAAGCACAAGGCATTTTTTCCTATATTGGAATTAATTAAAAAACGAACCCATGAATCTCTTCTCTAGTCAAGTGAGTACTGATCATATACCAACATGAGGTACTTCCTCCCAAGAGGGGCTAAATATAAATGACCCAGCTCCAACCAGTATATAAAAATCAAGAGATAGAAGCCAAACACTGAGCTCAGATTTTTCCACCACACTTAAAAAAACAACCTCTAGGCTGATTTACCTTTCCTTTCCATTTTTTAAAGCTTCCTTTTCAATTTACTTTCATTTTCTTTTCAGTTTTCTTGTCTTCTCTTCAGTGTTTCAAGGTAAACTAACCTCACCCTATTGTCATTTTCTGAAGAAAAATTTTGCCTTTTGCTTGAAGACCAAAAAGACCAGTTGTCTTAGATGCCACACAACCCATCTCAGAATATCTCTAAGTGTAGTTCTCTGACCATTCAACATGTATAAAATCAAACCAGAAAACACTACAGGCAAAAGAAAAGAATCTCCGAATTACATTGTTCATCACTGAGTACTGCTTTCTCACAGTTACACTAGATTAACTCAAAAAGAATGACGCTCTTAAATTCTCATTCTGGAAGAATTATCATTGTGTAATCACTATGCAAGTACAAACCCTTTTATTTTCATCTCGCTGAGAGCATATATTTGCCAATTAAGAAAGCATTGCTAAAGAGTTCAATACTTTATCTTTCTGTGGTTTCACTGCACACCCAGCAGTTGAAGAAAATGGGTGTTGAATGAGCGTATCTGCCTTAACAGCAAAGGGAACACTAAAATAAATGGTCCTGAAAAATGTTTCCTCTATAAAAGTGCTTAGACATTAGTTTCCTTCCTATGTGAAAATCCCTTTTTAAAGCTGACAAAAATACACATTCAGGTTTCTTTACAAATAAACAAGAAAGAGAGAAGAAAATAGACCCGTAATCTTGAAAATTTCAGCTCTGATGGCATAATGCTAAACAGTATTCTGATTTGGTTTTGTAAACAGTTTTCGTATCTAATTTTCTTCCCAAAATGTATTATAATAATTAGGAGGGTGCTTACTGCAACAAATACAAGCAAATATACCATAAAATATACTTTGGTTGGCATTCAATTCTGTATTCATCCATAGCTAGCACATTATTCACTCTGTGGTTTCACTCACTTAAATTATATATTTCATAATAATTTGTCGACATTCTGATGATAAAATTAAACTACAGTTAAATCCAGAGTAAGCAACCACTCATGGGACTGTTAAAACACAGGTTTTTTAATAAAAATGCATAACATTTTTTTTGAAAGCTGAATGGAAACTCATAAAATTTGACATAATATGATATTTAGTTGTTATAAAAATCTTAATGTTTAACACTTAATTATTCAGATATTTAAGTGCTTTATAGAATAGCTGATCATCATGTATGTAATGTATCTAAAGTACAGGACACTATCATTAATAGTCAAAATCTTAACAGGCATGAAACTCATCTAAAATAGAAATATAAACTTTATTGTAGGTAATTGCTGTCTGGTGCTTCACTATAAGTACATAACAATATATAAATATGTGGAGCTCCAGTGCAAGAGCCCACTGTTGTGGTTCTATTCCTTCACACAACTGAGCCATCTCACAAGAGAACTGGACCAGTTCTAGTAATTCAAAGCTCTGTACTTCATCATATATTGATCTGATTTGATCACTGATACAATTTAGAACAGGTGTAGATTATTCTGCTCCTCAAAATAACCAAAAGTAGTTGCACTGGCAGTTAGAAATGGCTGGAGTGAAGAGGCGCTCCTGTGCTGGCCAGACACCATTAGAGCAGAGGTGAAGGGATATGCAGCTGGCATCACTCCTACCAAAAGGCAACTGCAAGGTGTATGACCAAAAACATCTTCCTGCTTTCCACACAGAACCGCTGATGTATGGTGTACATAGAATAGGTCTTATGGGCAAAAAATTTTAATGTGGTTAAACCCTTTCAGAGATTACTGGAATGTTTAGTATTGCACGGAATTGGTATTTGCTATCTGACCAGAGTAGATAACTTAACAAGATATTTTTTTGTTGACTTCTGTTGTCTATTCACAGGCAAAAGTTGCTTAACACAGGCTTTTCAAATTATTTAAGAATCTTGATATCACGAAAACATTGAACATCATGAGCAAGACATGGGTCACAATTCTAACAATTTACTTTGCTTTTTTAAATATATCTGAAACTAGCAAAGCTGTTAATCCTAAATAGTACTTCTATTTCAAATTAAAACTTAATATTGAACATTTCCAGTAGTAACATTGACATGAATTGCTTAAATACACATACATACACGCAGCTTAGACATCTGTTTGTCATATCTATCATCTTTCTCTGTTACAATGTTGTTTGCCAAAACTTTGAGAACTCTAGTTTAATTGCCTGCCAATTAAGACCACAAACGCAAATGTAAATAAACAAAGTTATACTGACTCTGTATTGTGCTCACTGGTAAGATTACAGGGTTTAAATCTGGCAGAATGTAATCTCGTCTTTTTTGAAACCACAATTTAGCATTTTCCTTAAAACTTTCACTAGTTGCTGTGGACTGCTTTGATAAATAGTATTATATACCAATGACTCAAACTCCATCTGTTTGGCTAAAATAACTGTACATTTCAGTTTATAATATTCTAAACCCTCAGTTTAGAACACTAGCAATGAAGTCTATGGGTTTTCAAATGGAGAAGGCAAATGAAAATAAAGTGGCAGTCAAAGAATAAGCACCAGACCTTTGGTTTTAGTAAGAGAAAAAGAATAATTACAAAAAGTTCCTCAAAAAGATAAATATACATTAAAAAAAGTACTGCAGCATCTCTGTCATGGCAGTGTAGCATGGAGAACAGCTTCATGCTGTCCACATAAGAGTAAGAAAGTTCAGTCACATAATTATGTTTTTTTTAAGATAAGTCAACTTATTTTTGGCTCTGATGGAAGCTGGCTGCTATTCTTTATTTTAAATAGCTCAATAGAGCAAATAAGAATCACTTAATTGCTTGAAGTTGCCTTGAAGTAAAGGATTGGTGCAGAAAAGTAACACTAGTGTACTTTCCATTCAGCAGTTGTAGAAGTTATAGTGTCAGCCAGAAATGGCTGCAATAAATGGTAGAAATAAAATACACAAAACACACATAGATGTAGATTCACTTATGCTTATCTACTAGTCTCTCTTCATCAGTGCAGGCTTCCTCCATGGAACATAAGATAATTGTACAGCATTTCCCTCAGAATTTAACTCCACTGCTTCATAGAACACTCTCAGGTTTTTATAATCCATAATAATATTTTTTTCTTATAATAAACCCATCCTCTTCATAACATATCCTTGAATCATTCACAGAAATTATGTGAGCCCTACACTTGGTCTCTATGGTTTCCACATACCTACTGCTGCACAAATAACCACATTCAAAATAGAAGACTGCTCAACTGAATATCTAGTTTCTAACCCACACTTTGTTAAACATACATGAAATGTAAGAATATATCTGAAAATTCTAAATCGTTATGAGATCCTACTTTTATATTTTTCTGCTTTTTTTTCTAGGTTTCTAGTACCTATGGAAGTCAATGATAGCAGAATTCAGAAAAATCATCATAGTTTTCAAAATTCCTGTAATGCCAAACTAAAAAAGTAACCCTATAAACAGAGCCTGTCTGTACCACATGACAAAGAAAACAAGCCTCAAAACCAGCCAAATTTGTCAACATAAAGGCTAACCGTAGAGAAGAACTGCTCACCTAGAACCCATCAAGACATTCTGAGAAATAAGTGATTATGAAATGAGGAATATAATAGGGTTCCATCTAGATGAGTAAGAAAGACCATAAACAGCTAAGTATCAACCTGCAATGGAAAGTTCTCATCGCCTATATACACTTGTAGGCTTCAAGTTGCTTTGCTTTGCTTCTTTTTAGAAGATAATCTTGGCACATCTCCATATCCTTGTTCAGATGTGCCTTTTTGGTTAAGAACTTCAGAAAATGTTTACAGAAAGAGACTGAACTCCACAGTAGTTTCTAACAAGGTTGCTTATTGTTTTGGGCCCAAATTCTGTAAACGGAAAAAAGTCATACTACAGACTGTGTGTGTATATCCTTTATGTACTTGGTGACTTTTTCTTCCCCAAAAGGAGAGCACATTGGATGAGGAGATACAATCTCAGCTTCTGTTGTACTGGTCTGAGAGGCGGAGAAAGGAGAGGAATAGATGTACTTTTTTTTCTTTGTTGCTTTTAAGTGCTCTCAACCCTGTGAGAGGTAGAGCACTCAAGCAAATCATTTAAACATGTGAACAGTTACACTGCTGTCAATGTTTTAGCTAAGCACTGTTTTTAAAAAATTTGCTGGGTTGGTATCAAACTTATCCCCATTGGGATGAATCACACTTCGGGAGAAGGGAGCAGCATTATCTCTTCTAGTACTACAAGCCTAGCTAGCACAACACATCAGGTATGTGCCACAGGCTTGCTAGTAATAATAAATTTTGTGTAACAGGTTTTTTGTAGTAGTAAAAAGTATATTCTACTCTTAGAATATACTCAAGATCTTGCTTACTTGTTAATGTTTTAAGATACTTTTAAAAAGCCTTCTAGAGTTGACAACTCCAACAGAGAATTTTTTATACGAACCAAATTTTATTCCTTTGTTCACTCTTCACAAAGTCTATAAAATTTTGTCCCAAACAACCTGTACTCTCTCTTTCTTAAAAATAAGCTGGACTTTGTTCTATCACAATTTTAACAGCAACTTGTATTCTTTTTTATGCTTATACTGAACACATTCCAGTATGAAGCTATCCATACTGGATACTACAAGTGACAGTTCTGAGTACTAGAGTATGTCTGAGGTTTTATAAATATCAATTTATATTTATTGGCATTTAAGTTTTTCAGTATTTGCAATGCTAATTCTGTTAAGTTTTTCAGGATTTGCAATGCTAATTCTGTTAGGTTAATACATTACACTAAAGGCTGATTTTTAGTGAGATGTCATGAAAGTGATTTCATTTATTTATAGTTTTATGCTACATGGCTAACTGCTCATACAACCCATGTTTACAGTTGTGTACCATCCAGCCTTTTGCCACTGGGTGACAGCCAAAGCATGAAAACAAAAGCCCTATTCAGGAAAAGAATCCCCTGCACTGCTATATGAATATCAAGTGAATTATGCAAATCAGAACAGGAGGAGCTTAATAAAACTCTCTTTCTGACCTTCCTTATGTATATGGAGGGCAATATGCCGAGAATCTTGAAGTAAATATCCCTGTAAGGGAACTGTAAGTGCAGTAAATGCCGACCTCAACATTTAACTGGAACACTTAATCATAAAACTCAAGAATCTTTGTAACTTATACAAATCTACACCACAAAATCAAAGACAGGAACAACTCTCTCAGTAAAAAGACATCCTTTTTCTTTGGTTTTGCAAAGGAATAAGAGGTGAGAAAAGGGTCCAAAACTGTCCAAGTTCACAAAAGGAACGATGGAAGGGGACAAAATACAAAATACTAGAAGCATGCTACTTCAAAAAATTTATTTTCATAACAGTAAATGGGCACATTTCCTTTTTAGAATAACTTTCTCTAATTTAGCCTTTGTGATTATTATTTATGATTTGATAACAGACGTAAAAGGACAAGGCAAAATACATACCTATCATGCAGCACTTCAAAATGGTGCTTTGTAATTTTGAATTTTAAGTTTAATAAAAATCAATTTAATAAAGGTTAAATTCGTTTTCCTCAAAATGCAAAAGCTATATATATATATATATATATAATATATGTATTTCCTTAATAATGTTTTTATACAGCACATTTACAGGAGGCTGTAACTAACCCACAGAATCCTGAAAAAAACCCAAAAAGTAAAATATCCTTTTAGGTCAGATTAGAATTGACTATATTTGCATCAGAATTACTAATTTTTTTTTAACATTTAAAATGCTATATATAGTAATAACTCACATCATATTTTCAGTTTCTGTTGCACATGCTCCTACTGCTTTGTTGACATTCACAAGTAGTGCCTGATCCGTTGCAGTTAGTAACTTCACTAAAGGTGGTATTCCACCACATCTGCGGATAGTACCTCGATTTATTTGCTCTTGGCAACATTCTCCCAGTGCTCCAACGACATTTATAAGGACTTCTTCAGGCTGATCAGTAAGCAGTCCTACCAGAGTTTCTATGGTTTGATATTCCCGAAATCTAAACGACAGCAATAAACACAAAGTTATTATTTTCTGTATGTTACCATTATAAATTTAATTTTATAATTAAAGTATCATTATTATTGAAGTACAATATTTAATTTCTGTATGTAAAATCATCTTGCTGAAGAAATCCTAATACAGGTAAGCCATTCCAATCACTTAGAATAAGTGTGACGTAGAACCTACTTTTCTCATGACATTTCTCTAATTTATTTATCTAGGAATCTCTTGAGTAGTTTGAGCGTTTTCTAAACCTTGACATGTGGATGCAACATCTATAAATAGCTGAAACAAACCAGAGGACTGGCAATTACTATGCTATCCTGACCTCAGTACTTTTTCCCGCTATGTTAACAATAGCTAGAGTAGTGGTCTACCAGACCCTTCTCCACCTCTCTGAACCAAAGGATCACGAGCCTTTAGAGAGTTTACCCTGAGCAGTTCTATACTTAGTTCAGGCCTAATACATTGCATTTTCCTAAGGTCAGACCCATAGGTCTAGTACACCTCTACCGTACTGTGTTAGATTCCAATCTGAAATTAAGAAATAAGGTGACAGAAATTTGACTTGATTGCTATATTAATACTTTCCTCATTCTTCATAAAACTTTTGGTACTGTAAATCAAAAATATGGTTTTTAAAAATCCTGGAGGTCCTATCCTACAAAGAATGTGTGCTAAACCTCAGAAGTCAATCTTTCAGAACAGGATGTTTTCCTCAGTGCTAGAATCATCTTCTAAGTTTGTTTTGTTCAAAACTTAAGAGAATTATTTACACTTAAATACTGTATCTTCCTTTCATACATTTTCTGACACACCTTGACAGTTTCACTTGGTATATCAAGCTAGATCTAACCTGTATCTAATCTAATTATCAGAGATAATTTCTCTGAGGGTACTGAGTTCTCATTTGTGCTTCTCTCCCAGCCCCTACCTTCTGGAAGTGTCTACTTGAGCTACAAAAACTGTATTTTCCAAGAATCAGTTGCACATATGGCTTTTCTTTCATACAAAAAAAAATTTAATATTTCTGAGATTTTTATGGCAGACTGGAGCTGTTTCAATAAAAATTAATCTTTCCAAACTGGATTATCAGCATAACAATTAAAGTAACTAAGAAACGAGAAACTTTCTTTTTTGGTTATCCAAACCTTTGCTTAAAGGGAAATCTTCCTCTCTTTGTTCACTATAACTTGGAAGTATCCCTATAATCATTTTTTTTCCAGAGTAAACATCAACAGCATGAATAAAAGAGCAATAAAGTAAGCAAGTAATTTAAAAAAAAAGAAAAACAAAGCAAAACAAAAACCACCAAACTGATTTTCTCTGGCTAGTTTTTCTGCATTGCACATCAACTGCTTCACAGATGGAACGACAGGAGCTGGCTCTGCAACAGGCAGGCTGCACTGTGACAGAGCTGCTGGCTCGGGCCATCTTGTGTCCAGAAGCAGAACGGCTCCTTGCAGAAGAACTGGAATCTGAGCTGGACAGGCCCAGGCACCTGTATCAGCTCACTGCTGAGTCAGCACATCACCTCAGCAATGTGCTTCAGGTATAGGAAATACTGTGGAGCACTGTGAAGGTAATTAAGTGTCCCTGCAGGAACCAGCAGGATTTGTTAGTTCCAGCTTCATGCCAGACTCAAGCTTATCCCTCCAGATCTACTTAGGTGTTTTCACATCCACCTCACTCCCTTTTCTTTAGTGCCCTCCCATCTTGACTCTGGACAAAGTTTTAATGCTTCAGACTCAGCACTACATAATACATGAATTCAGCTGGAGCTGTGCCTGGCTAGTAACCTTTGTGGAGCACCAAGCACTTGCCAAAGATATGTGAGTAGCCCAACAAAAATCTGTTTGCATTTGGACAGAATTATTGGCTACAGCTATACTAATAAATAAAACAGGCAAGGGCTCATTCTCTAGCCCTGAGGACGAGAAGCACAACATAGCATCCATATGGCTAAAATCTCTTCTCCTCACAACTCAGGGTGGCCTCGCCCATTCTGCCTAATGGAAACAATCTGTTGCCTGCACTGTTCCCAAGGAGTGTCTGGGCATTGTCTGGGACAGTGCTTGCTGGCACAGGCCAAACTGTGTAAGGGACTGTGCTGGCAGTTGAACAGTACGGATAATCCTAACATAGTACCTGAAACCTGAAAGGTTTGGCCCTGTTTAGTTTACTGGTAGAGAGCCATTCAGTCTGTCTCATCATTGATTGATCCAAAATCAGGATACCTCTGTGCAGATACCCAAAGCCCACAGAAAAGAAGGACATACCCATCTGCGAAGTTAGGTTACCATACAATCAAGAATGCAAAAAGCAGTAGGACAACAGTAGAAGATGTAAAGACTGTGGGTTTGGGAACTCAATAAGTACAGTAAAAAAGCCAGAATGTAAACACTTAGAGTGGAAATGTTCATAATTTTTATCTAGCCTTTATCTATATTTGTGCTTAGTACACTAAAATGAGGGCTGCAGGAAGAGCTTACCTCTTACTTATATTCTTTCTAACATATGAATCTTGCATTCTTTTGTACGGAACAGCATAACTTCTAGGAAACCTAGCACATATGCAGCAGAGCCAGCTTTTTTTTGAGGCAAGGTGCATGAATATGGTAAATTAATTTTAGATGAGGACATCGAGTATTCTCAATCATGAAGCTGTTCCATGAAAGGTGGAGGGTGATAACTCATGTTGTCACATTCTCAGACAATTACTCAGGACCTTGGTACAGAGAGGTTGTAGGTACCTATGGTAGGACTCTCATCAGTTAATTCCACTCATTTAGAAGCTGGGTCTCCAGACTAAGCTACTTTCCTTAGACCCTTCTGTAGTCAAGAAGAGCAGCATCGAGACTAACTATCCTAAATTCCAATATATTTCTAATACGTATTAGACATCTACCCTAGAATGACATCATTTGTTCTCTGTCTCTCTTGATGTAAGACATTAAAGTGTACTAAGAACTCTGTCTACCATGCAGCAGTGATTCCAGCTTGTAAGCTACATGGAGGAGAGAGGATATCACATATGTCCATGTATCAAATGTTTAGTATGTGCTAGTACACCTCCCGACTCAGTCTAGCTATATGTCTTAGCTATTCTTTAGAGGCATCGCTTGTCTCCATTGACTCTTAACATTCTAGGATCTGAACACTGTCCACCGTGCCCTGATGAGGTCAGGTGGCAGTTTTTTAAGTACTATGAAACCTAAGCTGAAAGTCCAACTGATTATAAAGAATGTTTTTGAAGAACCATGACACAACGATTTTGAAAAAGATAGAGGCCCATAAAATCAAAACACAATAATGTAATAAATGCTCATAAAATTAAATTGTTACTTTGACACGTTTTCTATACTGATAGCACATTTCCAGATTGCTCCTGTCACAGCTGCCAGAAGTTTCTTGTTTTCAGAGTTATCAAGCAGAACAGAGAGTGGTTGTAGACCTCCATGTTGTCTAACCAGGTCACGTATTTGTTTATCTTCTGCACACTATACAAAACAATTAAATATATACATTACATAAAAATGTGTAAAATTATGTCTTCAAAAGCTAGCTGTATTACATTGTAACTAGTAAAATCTAATACAGAATAAAACAAATATTGTATTAAAGTACCTGAATATGCTAACAACTCACTAAGAGAGTTTGACAGTAAACTGCTACTGTATATGCAGCAGCGCTTATACTGTCACATTGTCCACTTTGTGAGCAAACAAACATAAAAAATCCAAAGAGGCTTCTCTCCACTGGCTACCTGCGCAATTTAGGACTTGTACAAAAGAAGACCAAGCAGGAACTTAACTACAATATTAAATATGCAGTTAAAATATTCACAACATTTTTATAAAGTAATTTCTTACATATTAGAGAAATAGTGAAATTAAGAAATATTAAAACCGACAACTACATGAAAACAAGGGGCTAATCCTGGCTCTGATCCACTGATTATAATAAAATTACCTTAAATATGGCACTTGCACAATGCATCTGAAGCTCCTCATGTTCACTACTCAAATTTTTCACCAGGTTCTCAATCATTCCCTCTGTCTTTATTGCAAGCCTGTAACTTGGCTAAAAAGATAAACTGCATCTTTTAAATCCAGTATATTAATAGTTAATAGGTCACAATAATAATACAGTGCTACAAATCTAGGGTTTGGTATTGAGAAGTCTTGTACTTTGTAAAAAGCACAAGTAATTATTGCCTTGAAAATACTACTCAGGATCTCAAAGGTAAGCAAATATAGAAATTCTCTGTAGTGCTCTTCCAATCACCTGTAAAACCAGGTGCTGCAATGCCTATTGTGTAGCCACTTGGCTTAAAGAGAATGCAGAATATTCTGAAAGGTGTCCAGACTCCCTGCTCAGAGCCAAGAAAGTAAAAGGTGCTTCAGAATGGGATCAAGAAGTACCCACCCACTTCATTGATAACCAACAGATCTATACCTAGAACAAGGTTACAAAAACAGGCATTGTAACAGGGGATCATTGTTCAAGAGAGGGGAAATATCATTGTAAGAGATGCATTTCTTTCCAAGTTAGGCCAGACACGAACCCTCAAAAATGTCACCTTCTCAGTATAGACTTATTTAACCTGAAACCTGCCAGGTTTGTGTCTCATGCAACATGCCTAAATTTGTGTAATTCAAGAAACTGATTTTTAAATTCAAGAAACTAAATTTTTACAGTGTTCAATAATGTAAAATCTTTTGAAAACTCATGTCTTCCGTGTCTCGAATTCTCCAAGAGAACGTATTTATATGTTTTACCTGAAGTGCAATACACCTTACTTTCAAATATGATTCTACAAATGGAGGTATAGAATCATAAAAAATAGAATAATTTAGATTGGAAAAGACCTTCAAGACCTTTGAGTCCAACCATTAACCCAGCACTGCCAAGTCCACCTCTAAACCATGTCCCTAAGTCCCACATCTACATGTCTTTTGAACAGGTCCAGGGATGGTGACTCAACTACTTCCCTGGGCAGCCTGCTCCAACTCTTGACAACCCTTTCAGTGAAAAAATTTTTCCTAATACCCCAACTAAACCTCCTCTGATTCAATCTGAGGCCATTTTCTCTGGTCCTATTTCTTGTTAGCTGGGAGAAGAGACCAATCCCTATGTTGCTACAACCTCCTTTCAGGCAGCTGGATGGAGTTATCAGACCCTCCTCATCTCCTTTTCTCCAAGCTAAACAACCCCAGCTCCCTCAGCTGCTCCTCATCAGACTGGTGCTCCAGATCCTTCTCTAGCTCTGCTGTCCTTCTCTGGACTCCAGTACCTCAAAGTCTCTCTTGAAGTGAGGGGCCCAGAACTGACAGGATTTGAGGTGCAGCATCAGTAGTGCCAAGAGGGGGTGATCACTGCCCTGGTCCTGCTGGCCACACTATTGCTGATACAGGCCAGGATGCCACTGACCTTGGCCACCTGGGCACAATCTGGCTCATGTTCAGTCACTGTCAACCAGCACCCTGAGGTCCTTTTCTGCCAGGTAGTTTTCCAGCAACTGTTCCCCCAACCTGTAGCACTGCCTGGGGTTGTTGTGACCCAAGTGCAGGACCTGGCATTTTGCCTTGTTGAACCTCATACCATTGGCCTCAGCCCATGGATCCAGCCTGTCCAGATCCCTCTGCAGAGCCTTCCTGCCCTCCAGCAATTCAACATTCCCACCCTACTTGGGGTTGTCTGCAAGCTGAGAGTGCCCTTGATCTTGTTGTCCCCACCACTGATAAAGATATTAAACAGAACTGTCCCAGTCATGTAATCACATATATGGTCATGGTAAAAAATATTTGTATTGGAATTTAAAAACTGAATATACTCAAAGCTGTGAAATCTGCCATGGTTCACATACTACTCCCAACCATTTAAATAAAAAATACATGGCCTTTACTTCATTACAAGCTGTGACCTTCTCAAAAACACTTCGATCACACAAAGCATCTACTTCCTGATGGGATAACTGCCCTGATTTAAGTGACATTAAAATGTAATACTTCCTTTTAGTAGGCAATTGTTTTAATGCTTAGAAATAACTTAGCTATATGTGTTTACTTACCTCTGAGGCACATTCTTGTAGTGTTCCCACTACTGGGATTAAGATGTTTGCATCTGAGCATTTGAGCCATGTAGCTAACAATGGAATGCCACCAGCTTTACGGATTGCTTTCTTATTTTTGGTGCTTTTGCTGCAGCTCCAGAGTGCCAAAGCGCCACAGCGTGCTATTTCAGTATCTTTGGCTTGGTATGATGTTCCCACTGAAACACACTCCAACAGCCCAACCTAAAAAAACCCATATTTTTTAATATCTAAAGGGAAGTTTGATATTATACTGCTTTTTAATTATGGTAAGCACTACCACAATAATCATGTATACAACATATGATGTATTTTTTTAACAAAAATACACATATGACAAGAGTACAAATTTTAGTGTCTGCTTACCAATTTCCTGATTCCTCCATATTGCCTTACTGTCTTTCGTGCTCGTTTAAATCTAGCAACATGAGCAATTGTTTCAGCTGCCAAACATTTTAGATCTTTATCTGGAGAGTCCAGTATTTTCACCATGATCTCTAAGCCCCCAAGATCTGCAATTGCATGTCTGATCAGTATATTTTGACTAATTTCCTTCAAGATTTTTAATGAACCAGTCTAAATAATGGAAAAAAACAGATGTTAAACATTATTTAATTATAAAAAACATTACCACTGTTTAAAATGCTGGGTTATCTACAACATCTTATCTTTCATATTTAAGAAACTGAAAGTCAAAGAAATTGATTTCTTTCTCAAAAATCTGAAGAAAAAAGAAAATAGAGGAATGAGTAAAGAAAGAAATCAATTTTCTTTACACTTGAATATTGAAACAATATTCTAATAGAAAGGGCATATTCATAGATCTATTTGACAAAGCTGCTTACCTGACAGTTAGTTTCTTCTGTATCAAGTAAATTAATTAACACTTCAAGACATCCAGTGTCTTTGAAAGCCAGCTGACACGATTCTTGAGCCATATTGAAATCTCTCATTGAACACAGCGCAATTACAGTAGCTGTTGGATCACCTGCCTAAAATAAATAATTAACAAATCTGTAAAGTGCTCTTATTATAAAACGTAATCACTTCCACTTATACTAGTAAAATCACTACTAAAGAAGAAACATGTTAGAGTATTTTGATTCTATTGTGTTAAAAAACACAGACATAGAAAGAAAGGGAATTATTGATAAAGTCTGTAAATGTCATAAAGATTCAAGTGAGTGAATAGCTCAGGTGACAAATGACTAATATGGCTTTCTGTGAATGGACCAGTAAATTAGGCAGTCAAGTATTGTGAGCTTTGTACAAGTGTTTGCAGATAGCAAAAGAACACAGAGTGAAGATACAGACATTTCAAAGATCCTGTCTGCATTTTTGCATTGGTATTCCAGAGATTCCAACAGGAATCTTCCATTGTGGACATTTCAGAGGATTTTTTTTCCGAGATTGAAGCCCTTGTAGAAAGTGTTTATTAAAAAACCCTGACATTTATGAACAATAACAAATTGCCACTATTAGATAATATTCAGCTGAGTTACAAAGGAAATGGTATAATAGTTGACTCAGCAGAGGTGGCACATATCCCCTCACTTCAAACTGCCCTCTTACTGTCCTGTGAAACAACAAATGTTATGTCAACTTCGGAAACAGCTCAAATGTTATCCAAGGCCTTTTAGCCAAAAATATGCGCTGGACAAATTGGTAGATTGTAATAAAGAACAGAATTAGCAGCCAGTGAATATAATATTCTTGCAACAATATGATATACTTAGAGCTACAAAGAATCTCTTACAAAAGTCACCAAGCTGTGGCAATGGAGATCCAGTTGATATGTCCAAGTGGACTCCATAAGGATTTTGACAAAGTCAAAAAAGGAAAGACCTAAGAAAAGAAACTAAACCACTGTATTATAATAGGAAAGACCATTATTTGGATTGGAAAGAATGACTGAAGGACAGGAAACTGAGGACAGGAGCAAAAAGTCAGTTCAATAAAGGGATGTGATTTAGTGGAGTTCCATAGATCCGTGTTGAAGTTATGTGATTCAACATACTCGTAAACACCCAGAGAAATGGAAGGACTACTTAAGTGACAAAGTTTGTTGACAATATTATAATTCAGGGCCTGTTGTGACAAGCTGCTAAAAAAATTACTAGGACTAAGAGGGCAGTAAAACAGCAAATGAGAAAATGAGAAATTATGCACATCAGAAAAAACCAATCCTAACTCCATAGATGAAATGATAGTTTTTCAGCTGACCATTAAAAATTAGAAACGATATCTTGAGGCTGGGGGAGATGGCAAACAAATAAGCAGAATATTGGGACTTATTTGGCAAAAAATATTGAACAGAGAACGTCACTATACCACAGTATAAATCTACAGTTCACATACAACTTAAAAACTTCATGCAATTCTACAGCTTCCCCCTCAGGAAGGTCACTATAGCACTGGAAAACTTTCAGAAAAGAGCAGCAAAGACAATCCAAAATTTTTTTAGTCTAAAAGAGGGACACCTGAAGGGATATCATAGAGATTGACAGTGTTAGGGATGGCCTTGAATAGGACAGAGAAGGGCTGACTGTCCTATGTTTCTTTTAATACAGATATAATCCCCTTTCATAATGAGGTATAATAGGGTTAAGGTAGTTGGTTCTTCAAATAAGGTAACAGACCAGTGGAAGTAGTTGTGAAATGATTCTGTGAAAGTTAAAAATTTTCACTGAAGGTCAATAAAAACATAAATATGTCATTCAGTTCTTAGCCTCCTGCGTTAAAAACAAGTGGCAGCTTGAGAGTATTAGAAAGCTGTGTTTGCCCTGTTCTTACTTTGCCCTGGGCAATCTTTGGTGGTACTGGCTTTCTTCTGCCTTGATGGACCACGATAAGAACAGTGTTTCACACTGCTATAGGTTATATAGTCAAGTTTCCCACATTTGTGAAAATCAGAAGTCAGGACATCAGAATGCAAAAGATGAACTTTAACCACAGAAAACTTCCATCCTGATCATTGATGATGCAACCCCTCCTGTTGCAGTCAGGTTATTGGGATACATTGTCTTTTGATCTGCCCAATACAGGGGGGTTTGAAGGTCATACAAATAAGGAAAACAGGATATAACTTGAAGAGTTCTGTTTTGGAAACAGAGTATATAAAAAAGACTAGGGATGTTGGATATGAATTTGAGATTACAGTGTAATATTTGATTAAAAGGATGAATTTTGGGATATATAATTGGAAGAACTGCACAGGCACATACATATTATCTCTTTTTAGGCACTTAGGCACTTGTGCAATTACCACTGAAATTCTGTGTCTAATTTTCCTTTTAACTGTTCTAGAAGGAAAGTGAAAAGTTGGAGATGATTCAGAAAAGAAAAATTCAAATTATCGTAAGCCTGGAAAATAGTTGCATTAAGAGAGACACGAGGAATACTATTTAGTTTATTAAAAAGTAAATTAAGGTATGAATCATTCATAGTGACTAAATAAATCTATTATGAATAGGAGTGTGATCACATTCTAGCACAGAGATTTGATGATTTGAAGTTAAAGGTACTAAAACTTAGATGAGGAGTAAAGTGCAAGTTTTCCATTGTGTGGTTAATTATCCTTTGGAAGAAATTATTTAGGAGTGATGATAAGTTTTCCATCAGTGGAAATTTTTCAGTCAAGACTGGAAGATTTTCTAAACAATACGCTCTATTTCAGTCACTGGTACTAGACTTAAAGCAAGGAAAAGATCAAAGAACACAACACAGAGAGTTAAACCATATGACAATGGATTCTTTTGAACTTATAATAGAGGTTTAGTGTTAACAAAATCAGGGATGGACCAAGCTGAATGGAAATTAGGCGGGCTGAGCTACCATGTAGCTGCAACAGAAGCTGAAGCACATGAACAGTGCCAACTGTGGAAGTTACAATTTGGAATACCTAGTAAAACAAATTACAGTATCCACCTTCTGCATGCCTCTGAATTCTAGGGAAGCTTTGGATTGCACCCAGATCTGAACTGTGCTGCCCAAGCCCATCTCTTCTAAATGACAGTTTTGAATCTGTAAAGGACTTTTAGCCAACCCCTTCCAGTTGTGCACATCATAATGAAATACAGAATATTGAAAAACTGAGTAAAGTTTGCTAATATGAAACAAGTAGATCTAGCAAAAACCAAATATTTAAATTCAACATGCTCTTCCTACAGTTAGGATAAATGTAGTAGAGAATCACAAGTGAGAAAATCCAAAAAGAATGTAAGAACTACTTCATAGAGTTTGAGACCAGTAACTCACATCAGACAAAACACTTCTGCTAATCAACAAAGTGTATGCTGATAGTACTTCATAATTTTTACTTAAATGTCTCGTAGCAATAGATATATACAGAATTTCCCCACAAAAAAATATTTAAATATAAAGGTAATTTTTAAACATCTGTAGCATACAGTGTGCTAAAGGAAGATGCCCACAACTTTTTTAAGTTATCTTTTTTTAATCGTTATCATCTTGACTTCAGAAGAATGAAATGTGTCTTGCTTTAATAACATATTTTCATCTTATTTGAAAATATGTCTCAGGGTATGAAATAGTGTAAGAATTTCTCAAATGTTTTCATAGGGAAATCAGTTTATCCACACAAACAAAACTAAATTATTTTTTTAAAAATCCATATGATATGATTTAAAGACTATACTGAATATCTTACAGATCAAAAAAACTAACAGCTCTCCTTTTATGAAATTTGTGGTCTTTTCACATATCTTAGGCTTTGTTATTTATTTTGCTTTGTATAATAAAAACTTTGCAGGAGGTGTTTTAAGAGAAAACTTATCTTTTTATTATTTTACATAAATGCAGAAGTATATCACTAACCTGAAAAGTGATGTCTCTTCTTTTGCAGACTGCTTCTCCTACAGTGAAACTCCACTTATATCTAACATAATAATCCATAATTCCCTTATCTTACATGTATAATAGTTGGCATATGATATTTAATATAGACCAGATTTTTAAAAAATAAACAACTTTTATTTTTCTTATACTAAATAAAAAATAGAACTGTATATAAAATACATATACATGCATTTTATTTTTTTGGCTTCAAAAATGAACACACCACTTAAAGTGTTTTTAATGTAAAACCACAATAAAATATTTCTCATATGTGCTGAAGCATCAGTTCCACAAAATAAGAAATATTAGTGACGGTTTCAACAATTCTTTTTTTGTTTCTTGAAGTTATCATTACAGTAAGTACTGCAGTAGTTACAGAATAGATTTTAACATGCATGGAAATAGTTACCTCTCCATTAAGATGACATAAAATCTGCATCATGTTGTTATACCATTTGAAATCTGATATGTTGGATGCAAATAGACTCTACTGGCAGATCAACAATCAATTTTAAGGCTTGAAATTAAACACAGACTTAGTTAAATGTGCCTCTCTTCCTATATATTGCAATAACATATATATCCATAAATTAAACGAAAATAAACCAGTATCACCATTACACTATCAGTAAAACATCTTCTGTGCAATGTATGTGTAATATCTCTGTTATGATACTCAGAGCTTGCAAATGACAATTACAGAACTACTGAGAAGATCAAATAAGAACAAAAATAAAAGAGAAACACAAGCAAATAAGGACACAAACTAAAATACAGTTACCAAGGAACACACAAGTTCAAACCATCATTTTGTTTGATACTTCTGTAATAATCAAGAGGAAAAAACCTGTTAGTCAATGGCAAGCTTTCAACAAATGAAACTAAGAAAGCTAAAAGCATTAAGGGGTCTTTTTTATGCATTAACTTTTACTGTTTTCTACTAATGTTTACTTAATGTCAGTGATGGCATAGTGAACACTGCCTATGCTAAGGACATAATTAACTAGTCAGTAAGTACTTAGATAACTTAGATGTTTTCCTACTAGATGAGCTTAATAGATTCTGCTCTTTGGTGCTGAGAGAATTGGCTGATGCCATGATGAGCTTGCAGAACTGTAGATAAAAATCTGTTGTT